ACTTTGTGCGGAGACTTTGATGGTTAAGACTTAGAGCGATACAATTGATGGCATTGTTGTGCTCCATCACTAGATTAAAGCCAAACTTATTGTTCATAATGGCTCGCATACACATTATGCAGACGTGCACGTCATCCCCCACTTGTCCTAACTTTAATTTAGTCGAGTGTTGCCGAGAAAACAGAAGCGACGGTCGCCTGTAATACAAAACCATTGCATTAGATATGGGACGCACCGGTCGACCAGAATTTATCTTAAGGTCTTTCACTATTTCTATTTGTTTACACTTCAGATTTATCAACATTTATGTCAAATCTATAAATTACTTTCTGTCACTGATGTGCAATCAATCGTAACTCAACTTCTAATTGCTTACAGCGAGGGCTGAGCTTATAAGAGTGAAATTTGATAGAAAAATGCGGACTTAAGTGATTGAAAAGATTAACGAAATGAAAGAATAGTTGGACATTACTGTCCCGGGTATGCGTTCCCTGATATGCAATATGTTTAAAAAATAAATGCATAAAAATTCTTCAAATGTTTTGCATAAAAAAGAGAAAAAAAAATCAAAGCATAAAAACAAACGAAAACTGACATAAAAGTAGATTTTCAATCAATATTTGCATAAATATAAAAGAAATGATTAAAAGATAGAAATCATGAGAACATTAACTAAAAGTTTATTCAAATTCATGACAAGCGCTCGAAAAACGAGAGGAAAACATAAAAGTAGATTTTCAATCAATATTTGCATAAATATAAAAGAAATGATTAAAAGATAGAAATCATGAGAACATTAACTAAAAGTTTATTCAAATTCATGACAAGCGCTCGAAAAACGAGAGGAAAAACAAATGAATTATTAATAAATTGAAGATTAATTGGGAGTGAAAACGAAAAATTAATTACAAAACCAAGAGAATATAAATAGTTATCAATAGTTTACCTCAAAGTGAAACAAAACCACAAATAAATTATTGCATAAATTCAATGTTAGATTAATCGCACGAATTTGATAAATAAATAAAACACAAAATTGCAGAAAACGGAGAGAATTTGAAGCAAATGTAGTGAATCTTAAGGGATGGACACATATCTCGGTATAAGAAAGAGACAAAAGGTATTAATCATTGCTCAGGAATTTGAGGTAAAGTGAAATTGAATCTTATTTTCTGAGATCTGAAACACTTGGGAGTGAATCGAGTTTTTATTGAAACTTAATGTCTATCTCTCTGTTCATTCAGACGTTTCGTTAATTCATACAAATTATGACGAATAAGGAGTCATTAAATTGAGATTCAAATTCAAATCTCACGAAATGAATGCTTTCCTCCAAATGATGTATAATTGAGTGAATGAGACACGCATTCAAATACGTTGGGATCAAGGCTTCAAATACATGACAATCATCTTAGATATCGAGTTAATGGATAGAAACTATCGTTTCAATCATGTATTGTTTTCTTAGTTCAACGAATACTACCGTTTCTTATTTGAAAATATTTACATAAATCTTAAGATGAGATTACAATTGATAACTCTTGGGAAACAATCATTTCAATTGAAATACAATTCAAATTTTTTCTAACATTGTTTCAAAACAACGACTTTTGGTTGGAAACGATTGTCAAATGTATCGCATCAATGATTTTAACGTATAGTTTGATTCATTTGATTGAATGATATTAATAAAACCATGTATGAAACATAACACATGTGTTTTTATATGTGAAATGGTAAACAATTAACAGCAATACTGTAAATGTGACAAATATCTAATGATTTAATTGAGTTCATTAAAGCAATTACTATCTAACATGAGTTTATGATATAATCTAATAAACATTATACAAGTGTTTGATTATTTGCTATTTAAACAGACTATTCAAGTGAAACAGTTTTAACGCATTACTAAGTTATGGGAAAACTATGTCCATTCAACACTTGAATTATTTAGATTTTGTGACTAAAAAACAACAAAAGATAAGATTATGTAAACAAAAGTGATTAACACAACAATCAATGAGTGAATAGTGCAATGAATTCCCATTGATTTGGATTTCCTTTTGGTTTATACCTTATTTAACTCATGGGAAGGGATTTCCATTTGGAAAACAGGAAACAAAACCATAACAAGTAATTCATCGCAAGATTATAATTGAAATTTGAGATAAACATCGAAAAAGAGTCTCAAAATCAATAGCAATGGCAAATGGGTGCTAATGAGAGGCATATACTGTACTATAGCTGTTGTGTCACTAATTCTTAACTCATTTTACAAACAAGTGTTGTATTCATAGCATCGCTAAACATATGTCATTTAAATGCCGTTGCAATCAACGCTAAATGTATTGAATATCATTGAAATGTGACTTAATTTTTGCGTATAAAAGAAGAGTTGGTTTCAAATTGAAAAACGTTTTGCCCTATAAAACAACAAAAGGCTTAAACTTTTCACTTGAATAGCTGTCAGTAGAAAAAGCGATTGAAAATGAATATAGCATTGAACTCAATTCACATTTAATTAACCCTTAATTAAGTCGTTAAGACTTACTGCAACTCACAGAAATCAATTCAATTAAAGGTTTGAACAAAATAAGAAAAATAAAAATAATATATTTACATAAATATATTTAAAGGACGTTTGATTTTGCGGTAATATTTTAAGTCATTTATTTGAAATTCAAATTAACCAAAATCGTTAGTCTATTGAAAATTATTCGCAAAACTAGTCAAACAAATATTAAAAAGGGATTTAGAAGTTATACTTAAATATAGGGGAAAACTATTAGAAAGTTATGAAATACTAAAAAACAAATATTTAAAACGTTAGTCTATTGAAAATTATTCGCAAAACTAGTCAAACAAATATTAAAAAGGGATTTAGAAGTTATACTTAAATATAGGGGAAAACTATTAGAAAGTTATGAAATACTAAAAAACAAATATTTAAACTGTGATTTAAAGCTAACGTAGAGATTGTATTACTTTGTCGTAAATTGAAAGTAAAAAACAGGAATTTTCATATCATATGACCTCAAGAGTGAGAGAAATGAATGTAATTCACGACTAAAGGAAAAAACCGAAGATATTGTTTCACGAGACATAAAAATAGTATAAATTAGTTAAAAGACATAAATTTTCGTAAAAGTGAAACAAATAAAAACAAAGCAAAAGAGGTATGAATTGAATGAATTTGAGAGCCGATTGCCACTAGAAGAAGTAGAAATGGTTACTGAACTCAAACCTCAATAAACTGGTATTTGTTTGGATGTGGTCTTGACTTGCGGTCAGATTGTCGGCGCTTCCGTTCTGGTGAGCCGTTTGCTGGTCTTTGAGCTGTTGGTGCTGTTGTTGTGTCACTAACCGGAAGGTCAGGTATTCGATGAGTACATCCAAACCCAGATTGGATTCGGACAGGAATTCTCGGACCCACTCGATGTTATTGGTCCGCAAAGAGATCTCCAGATCGCGCAACACCTGAGTGGACGTGTTGTGACCCAATTGTCGCACTTTTTTGGTACTTCTGCTGGCTTTGGGATCCAAATAAGTGGACAGTTTTCGCAGATAAAACTCCGGCGACTCTTTGGCCGTCACTTTCTCCTGATCTCTAATCATTTCCCACTTCTTCTCCATATCGTATCCACGAAGAAGTTTGGCCTTATCTGGAGGTAAATCCATTGACGCCAACACTAATTGACATTCAAACGAGTCATTCATTAAAATCCAATCAAATAGTCATTACAAGTGATGACAACTATAGTCATTACAAGTGATGACAACTATTCATACCTTTCGTGAATCGTCTCTCGAGTTCATTAGAGTCAGGCATTTGATGGTCGACCTCATGGTTAGACTGTTTGTCATTCAATGTGACTGAATGTGTGACAACACTATTGATGTGATGGTTGTTCACTGATTTGTGTCTCGTGACCACTGATTGGTGGTTGACGGGAGACCCTGATGTCGAGTAACTCATACCCATTTTGGCCACAATCACAGACTGTCATACATCTTGAGGGTGTTATTGTGGGCACAGTGTTGGCGGTGATAGTGATATCAATACTGTGGTGTTAGTGGTGACAGCGATATATCACAAAACCATACAAATGTATAAAACTATGAAAGTGTGTGCTTTGGATGGCATAAGACATGTGATGTAAAGTCTATTTATGTAATACTGACTCACATTCACACAAATGACTCATTACTACATCAAATCAATTCAATTGTTTTGATTGCCATTCACAGCATTCAATGCATTGGCACTGTCTATGAGTTCCGCATCAATACTACACATCTATACCTCGCATACGATATCTCAATGCATTCAATACACCACTCATTCGCTGCAAACTATTTGACAATAAATACCATTCAATACATACACTATTGAATGCTTTCGAAGCGACGCCTACTTTGCCTTTGCTTTCAATATCAGTCTCTCTTATAGGCGTTCACTAACTCTTCAATTATAAGACTCTTATGAATACAAATGCATTCATTTCTCACTTCATATCTCCGCTACTTTCCATATATTTCTAATATTCCTCTTAAAAAAACTCCTTAAGACTTAAAAACAAGTTTTCTTTAAAGACTTAATTGTTTTACAAATATTATTCATTGTCTTTGACCGGAATATAAGTTTAACGTATACTTAGCAGTGATTGCAGTCATTTGTCACTATAATTATGATTAACTGTTTGGCAAACATTACACAATCAACTCATTATCAAATAAAATGCAAACAAATATTTCAAAATTTCATTCATTTATTGAATAATCAATAATTAATCCATGGATTCAACCCAAAGCCTGAGCGGCAGTATTGATGGACAGGTGGTCGTGATATTCCTGATACGGGGACTTATTGAGTGGCGATTCGGGCCACAAGTCAGGGGTCAGGTATGAGTAGGTCTGACAATACATACACTATTGAATGCTTTCGAAGCGACGCCTACTTTGCCTTTGCTTTCAATATCAGTCTCTCTTATAGGCGTTCACTAACTCTTCAATTATAAGACTCTTATGAATACAAATGCATTCATATCTCCGCTACTTTCCATATATTTCTAATATTCCTCTTAAAAAACTCCTTAAGACTTAAAAACAAGTTTTCTTTAAAGACTTAATTGTTTTACAAATATTATTCATTGTCTTTGACCGGAATATAAGCTTAACGTATACTTAGCAGTGATTGCAGTCATTTGTCACTTTAATTATGATTAACTGTTTGGCAAACATTACACAATCAACTCATTACCAAATAAAATGCAAACAAATATTTCAAAATATCATTCATTTATTGAATAATCAATAATTGATCCATGGATTCAACCCAAAGCCTGAGCGGCAGTATTGATGGACAGGTGGTCGTGATATTCCTGATACGGGGACTTATTGAGTGGCGATTCGGGCCACAAGTCAGGGGTCAGGTATGAGTAGGTCTGTTGGATGGCCAGGTATGTGGCCTTCGCGAAGTTGCCCAGCGTTGAGGTCGAGCCACTCGCAGATGTATAACAGTCCTCAATACCCGCCATATTCATCAACTTCTTGGGCACGGGCGCCGACACAATGCCAGTACCTCTGGGCGCAGGGATGAGACGCACCAAAACAGAACCACACTTTCCGGTCACCTGAAGATCATTCAAACAATTATTATTTTGATTGCAAACAAGTAATCATTAATAGGATGAGTAGTGAATGGATTGTCGAATGCATGGTCTCTCTCGATCATCACTGCAGCAGAACTGCATTGGAAAGAGTTAATGGAATATGCATTTCGTGGTCGACATCAACCCGGAGGGAGACAACCGTTTAATGTGCAACACTGTAGTTAAGGCGAACCATTGCCTGGATTCAAGCCCTTTAGCACTACAACAAAGGGAGGCACTCAAGACCCCGAAGGGACGAATGCCTCCACTTTAATGTTGCCATCAGTTGTGGGAAATGAAAAACACGTGTTCAGTACATACCTTACAGGGAACGGTATGCGGTTTTCCGATTTTGTTACCCCAATAGCCTCTGCGGACGGGAATGACCGACAGTTTGGCGAGAATGATGGCGCCCCTGATGGCAGTGGCTACCTCTTTACTGCACTTCACGCCGAGCCCCACGTGTCCGTTGTAGTCGCCGATCGCCACAAACGCCTTGAAACGGGTCCTCTGACCGGCTCGCGTCTGCTTCTGCACCGGCATTATCTTCAACACCTCGTCCTTCAGCTGCGGACCGATAAAGAAGTCGATTATCTCGAACTCCTTGATGGGCAGCGAAAAGCGGTAGATCTCCTCCAACGACTTGATCTTCCCGTCCTTCACAAGACGTCCCAATTTAGTCACAGGAATCCACTCCTTATCGCCATCTTTGCCGCCACGTCCACGACCTCTGCCTCCGCGGCCGCCTCGACCACCGCGTCCACGGCCTCGACCTCTGCCGCCAAAACCTCCTCTGAATCCACCGCCTCTTTGACCAGCGGCTGGAGCGTTGTCCGCCATCTGACCATCAAATGTACAGACAATACCATTACTACTACTCACTCGAGATATCGTCCAAATCTCTTCAATTAATTCATTTAATCATCCATTTTATGCGTTCATTAAATAAACGACAAAATGAATGTTCAAATGAAGCGAAGAGTGGATTGAATGAAGTGGTAAATTGGGATCAAATGGATAGTGACTTACATTAGTCAGTGATGTGTGAGTAGTGATCAGTGAATGCTATCGACTGAAAGGAAACGGATCTTAACTGAACACACGTTTTCATAGTGTTCTGTGAGTCACGTGACTGAGTGTGCGGTGAGTCTATGGGCGCCATCTATGGGTCACTGCATTGCTTGACATTCATTGCCATTCATTTGCAATCGATTTTCATTTTGGTGTTCATTTTTGCCGTAAGTTTCCACTCATTTGCCACTAATTGTATGAATTAATCGCTATTATTATCATTCAGTTGTCCATCGGATCCAAAATTTGCGTTCAAAATGCTGTCGCGATTGGTCTTCGGCTCAAGTAATGACCATTTGTTACCATTGCTAACTCACACACATTATCGCATTGATCTTCACATGATATCTCGCGACCTCTTAATTGCATTTAATGTCTATTTATATCTCATTTAACAAACATTTCTACAATTGTATTGAAATGCAAACCATTTAATGATTGTGTGAATTGTCTTCAGGGAGTGTATGGAAGGCAGCCAATGGTCTGAAGCCGATGGCGATGCGACCCATGTCTTCGTACCCCCGCGTCGAGGATAACCTCAATCCTCCACTTCTGCCGCAACTGACGGACGTGGTTGAAGGCGAACGCTTTGACCCGAAGAAGCAATCGCTCGAAGAGTTTCTTAACGTGCGATTTGGTCCCGAAATGGCGACCATTAACGACGATAAGAAGCCGGAGCGCGATGTGAAGAACTTTCCGCGCGTACCGGTGCCCATATGGCCCGACAGGACACGACTCTATATGTTACCCGAGTCCTGGTTTGACTACTTCTACCAGAAGACAGGAGTGACGGGTCCTTACGTTTTCTTTGGAGCCTTCGGAACGTTTCTCCTGTCCAAAGAGTTCTTCATCATTGAACACGAGTTCTTCACCGGTCTGTCCCTCGCCATACTCACCACAGCAGTCGCTGTCAAGTTTGGACCCGCTATTCGTCAATATATCGGCACCAATCAAGACGTGAGTCGATTCCATGCCATATATTCTGGTGTTTAATACCGTATAATATTATATACAGTATATTATGCTATCATTTGTATCATACCTTAATAGCCATACAATGGCTTTACCACTAAATAGTGCTATAAATATTAATCATACCTTTAATCCATAATTAAGATTTTGTTGAATTCTAATACAATATATTATGACAGTGTATTACTTTAATAATACCGTACTTACCATATAATTATACTTTGTACGGTATAGGTACAGTATTTAAAGTTATTTTTAAACCATTATTTGGTTGAATTGGTTGGCAATATACCGTAGATATTGGTTTTGTTAGTGAGGGTTGCCGTCATTTTTATGAATATTAATAATTTATAAGACATTGATTCAAAAAATAATTGGTTTTAGTGAATGCTTGGATGTATTGATGAATTATTTATTTGCTGTAGTTATTTATTTGTATATTAATAGAAAAGTTGCCTAAAATCATAACATTAAGTGGTTGGCAACCGTCCTATGAATTAATTACATGTATTCCGATCCGATATGATTTGAATATCTGAACCAATGATTACATATCGCTTTGAATCATACGATATGTCATTGAATGTACACTAATTGATTGTAATTATAACTGAATTCTATATGAAAAATGACATTAATTTATAAAAACATTGTGTTTGACGTGACATTCAGGCNACCGGTGCCCATATGGCCCGACAGGACACGACTCTATATGTTACCCGAGTCCTGGTTTGACTACTTCTACCAGAAGACAGGAGTGACGGGTCCTTACGTTTTCTTTGGAGCCTTCGGAACGTTTCTCCTGTCCAAAGAGTTCTTCATCATTGAACACGAGTTCTTCACCGGTCTGTCCCTCGCCATACTCACCACAGCAGTCGCTGTCAAGTTTGGACCCGCTATTCGTCAATATATCGGCACCAATCAAGACGTGAGTCGATTCCATGCCATATATTCTGGTGTTTAATACCGTATAATATTATATACAGTATATTATGCTATCATTTGTATCATACCTTAATAGCCATACAATGGCTTTACCACTAAATAGTGCTATAAATATTAATCATACCTTTAATCCATAATTAAGATTTTGTTGAATTCTAATACAATATATTATGACAGTGTATTACTTTAATAATACCGTACTTACCATATAATTATACTTTGTACGGTATAGGTACAGTATTTAAAGTTATTTTTAAACCATTATTTGGTTGAATTGGTTGGCAATATACCGTAGATATTGGTTTTGTTAGTGAGGGTTGCCCAGTAAAAATACTTATAATTATTAAATATTCTGTAACTAAGTTTTTTATTAACCAAAATCACTTACGAACCTACATAACTACTTAATAAATAAACGACATCAATAAATAAACATATAATTATCTTTTGTTGCCTAAAATCATAACATTAAGTGGTTGGCAACCGTCCTATGAATTAATTACATGTATTGCGATCCGATATGATTTGAATATCTGAACCAATGATTACATATCGCTTTGAATCATACGATATGTCTTTGAATGTACACTAATTGATTGTAATTATTACTGAATTCTATATGAAAAATGACATTAATTTATAAAAACATTGTGTTTGACGTGACATTCAGGCGGCGGCAGGCGTTTGGGATGAGTGGCAGAAAGGGATGGTGTCGTTCCTCAACGAACTCATATCGGCGGAGAGTGTATCGCAAGATCACGCGCGACAACAGAAGATCTTATTTGACGCGAAACGCGAGAACGTGAGGCTCCAGTTGGAGGCCGAGTTCAGGCGCAGACAAATGGCCGCATACACGGAGGTCCGCAACCGACTCGAGTACATGTTAGCCAAACAGGTGGCTGAGCGCCAGTACCAACAGCAGCATATGGTCAACTGGATCATCGATGGCGTCCAGAAAGGTATTACCGCTCAGCAGGAGAAGGAATTCCTACAGAAGTGTTTGGTTGACTTGAAACA